AAACCAAACGGTTTTAAAATTGATAATAATTTTTTACCATTTGCCAGACCATACTACACAGTATATAATAACCAACACAAGGACTATATTTACAGAGGATAATAAGGAAATGACTGAATAATAGTGTACATTGTCAATTTAAGTTATAACCAATCTATAATCATATACTGACCTACATGTTCTTTATATAATTCATGTTTACATTATCCTAGATGTTACATTCCTGGTCTTGAACATTATCTAATAGCTATATAATACACATGAGGACATTATCAACAAACAGAGGTGGACATCTGTTTACCTGAACATAAAACAATTCTCTGCTATTATTTTTAAAATCAATTTCAAATTTAACTATATCGGTCATTAAAATCTGCAAATTTGAGTCTGTATCAACAAAACAAAACATTTTGAAGTGTTTTTAAGATGTGATTTTATGCTATATTGACATTGATTTCGAATATTGATATCACTGGCAGATGATGTGAACAACCCAAAATTTACTGCCAGTCCTTAAAGTGAAGTTTTTTCTTCATGTTTTTTATCAGGTTTTTTATTAAATTGTGACATAGATGGTGATTTTCTAAGTCATATATAATGGTTTTGGTCATTTGGTGAGTGCCCAGCTTTACTGGTGAGACCTCATATGCCTGTCCTTACATACCTGATTGACCATTATCTCTGAGACAAGAAGTTTCCTCCATACTACCACCAGCTTTCTATTATATCAACTCAAATAGCTTCCCCATACATTTGAATATGATATACGAACAACAACTTATAACGTGAAGACTGCGCAATAATCAGGGTACCAACCCCTACCTTTTTGAGCAGAAGACATAATTTGTCACACAGATGTAGAAGTGGTTGTCTTAAATCTGCCAAGCAATAAAGGTCATTTAATGGAAAATACCTTTTGACGAAAAATAGAACCATTTTAATACTGACAATTATTTTTGATATCTCAAACTACCAATTAAAAGTTATTATTAAAGAAGAGTGAAAGTTTTTACTTTAAAATGTTGGAAAAGGCAAAGGTTTTTCAAAACATACTTGTAAAAGACTTACAGATCACCTTTGTGTGTCCTATGGATTATATGTATAAGACTTAACCACAGTATTTAATGTTTAAAAGTAATATGAAGAGAATTCAAGAGAATGGATTATTTTCTATTATCATTTTTTATGTAACAAAGAAGCACAATTTTGTTATAATTAAGGGACAGAGTCATTTAACATTGTGGAATGTATTTTTGTACAGGAACACAAACAATAATAAAGTTTGCATAAAGTCTACATCAATAAGTTTCAGTAATATTCAAGGAATGAAGAGTTTTTGGAAATAATAATTAGGATAAGGGAAATAACTTTTGAAATCAAAAGTAGATTATTTTAGATATCATTTTAATTTGTCAAGCATTTTAGTAGTCATGAGTGAAATTTTGAGTGATAAATGTTATTTATTCTAATCTCTGAGAATTTAACTCCCAACTAGCTCTAAATTCTCTTCTTTGGGTATGCCCATCATCAACATGAAACCCATCCAAACTTGTACCATTAACATAGAACATTTACAATTCTACACAAACAATTACTACAACAATTTTCCTGGAACTCTTGTTTTTTCCATTACCCTTTAGGGACACTGCAACACTACAAAAAAGCACGAAGTTGTTTATGTAATATTATATTTTAATAATTTTATGCATATTCTAAAACATAATAACAATATTAACAAGATTTGTCAACTCCACTTATACACTTAACATACCTACGTTATAACTATACTCTTTTTTGAAGTTATATTTCATTTATATCATGCTATTTAACACCCTTCTATTGATAATCATTACAAAACATATGACACTTTAAAAAAAAACATGTAACATATAATTATCCCAATAATAAGTTGGTAACATTTGCTAGAATACATATTCATAAACAATTGCAATCTCATATACATCTCTTGAAGTTTTTTTCCTTAATTTCATATTGATGTGTTTGTTTCCTACTATTGCCTGATTTCTCTTATGACTATTTCATTTTGTGCAAATTTTAAGGTCTTTTTTCAGTTTCAACTGTAATTCAATCATGGACTAATTATTAAAAATTAAGATGTACAGTATAACATGTGCTGAAGGCCATTTACTTAAATTAAAGGCACATTATGCCTCAAAAACGAATGATTTCTCCTTCTTTGGAAAGGGCCAACAAGAGTTTTATAACACTGAAATAAAAGTATTATAAAGCGTGTCAGATGCCTAAATTATCACATGAAGAAATGCTATGTGTCATACCAGAAACAACAGAATTCATAGAAACTAGATTTTTTTTTCACAGAAGCTTCTTCATCAAGTGCCCTGGTGCATATTATAAGCATTTTGCAGTTTTAACATTTTTGGGGAAAGTATGGCCTTTTGATTTTTTAACATATATAACATAACATATATACTATATAGATGAAAAATATGTTTCTACACATCTGAAATACCAATGGGGAAAGTATGGCCTTTTGATTTTTAACATATAAAATATATATATGAAAAATATGTTTCCACCAATCTGAAATACCAATTGTATCTAATTGGATGCATAGCATTACATAGAACAAATTTATTTTATTATTCATAATACTAAAATATTCATAAGATTGTAACAGCGAGTACATTACATGTATGTTGTTTGGTCATTTTGTTTGCTCTGCACATTTACTTGTTTATCATTTACTATATACAGGTATCATTCTATTATGCATTTATATACTATATATAATAATTATTAACTTAGACCTCCGTGCCGTGTACTATTTCGTAAATAGTCAAAATGGAAACCCTAAAGGTTGCCCAAATGTCTAGAAAACTTTATGAGAACATTAAACATATAATTGAGACAGGTAACTGTTGTGGTTTGATCCTAAATTAGGTAAAATAAAACATTAACATTTTTTGATGATTTAATTTCACATCTTACTAACATAAATTTCAGAATAAGGGTTTGCTTAGACTTCATATCACTTTTAATAACCAGCTCCTAAAAAAATCATTTTTGTTTTATGTATTATTTTGGGAGATTCAAATATGTTTTGTTTTGGTCAAAGCATTGAGAAAGAAGCTTTTTACCCTTACCACACTAAATACATGTATCTTAGATGCAATTGTCCATCTTGGTCTTCACTCCGGTCACATGGGTTAGATAGATTAGATAGATTTATTTCAGTATTCTGCAATAACATGGTGAAACATATTCAATACATTATAAAACAATAAAATCAAATATCAATGTATAAGAAATTAACAATATCAAAAACATCAAACCAAGGATAACACAAGAAGAGGGTAGTTTATTTCACAATACACATCCATTGTAAGCAAAAGACTTTAACTCGAAACCTTTGACCTTAGGTAGCATATAACACCCATTTTCACTTGACCTGGTCCTTTAAGTATAAACAGAATCTAATGGAATAAAGTTTTCTCCGATATATTCAGGGACAAGTCCATGTTTTATTTTAAAAACATAACAGAGGATAATTTGATCGACCGACAGGCAAATAAGTAGATTCAGTTGCTGGCAGCAGGCTAAATGTTAGAATAAGCCAATCAAATTCTTCTTACAACTATATGAGAGGACGAACGCTTGTGTCAACAAATAACCGATTTAACATAAAGTACGCAATTATCATTTATGTTGGACAATAAAATTACATAAATACATTGTGTATATCAATGAAACATCTTGCATTGACAATAATTAACATTTCAATAAAACAATGCAATTTAAGTGCAGAAACCTAAGTGTATTTTAAGTGCATTTCATTATCAATAATAATATCACATGTTGCTGTTATTCATCATGATAGCTATATAAGGAGAACAATATACAATTACTTCATAATCTCAGTTGTTGGTGTAAACTGTAAAAATATTATAATAAAGTTAACAACATCAATAACAACAATATCCAAACAACAACCTGCTTTTAGATGAAACTATCCATTGTGAGATACAAAAACAGAGCAGATATTGCATAAGAAAAAAACCCAACAAAGTAGATAACAGGTTCTAAAAGTCAATGTAAAAAATCTTAAAGGGATGATCCCTCTCCTTCAAAAGCAATGTAAAAACTTCAGACACTGACTGAATCTGTTCATGAGAGATAATAACATAAAACTATCTTTTGAGGTAATTATTACTGCTACACAGGGTTTTTATTTTGGTTTTAAGTTACATCAGCTCTGAAAAAGTCTTTGCCTTGAAGCGCATAATTTATGTATAAATAAATGACTAAATAACTAACATATCCATCAGGTTTAGTTTTAAATCTTATATATACAGCTTTTGGTGCTACAGCAACTGTCTCTGAAAATAATAAATACTAGAAATAAAATCTTTATTTTAAGCATTTTTTCAAAATACAATGAATCTATTCAATTTAAATAAAAAAATGAATAAATAAAACTAAAACTAGAACTGTCAGTGAATGTGATATTTAATATCCCCCCTCAAAAAGCTTTTATTCCATAAATAAAAGCCAAAATAAACAGGGGCCACACTTATTTCTAATAATCAAATGCGTTATTATTAAAAAAAATCTTTCAAATCTATTTTTCAAATGGTCAAGTTAACTAGAGAACAGCTTGAACAAAACACAATATGAAGTAATACACAATGCATGTTTAACTTCTGGCAATTTATCGCGTGTTTCATATTAAAAAAAAAACCATAATAAAAAGATATTGTATTAGGGGTTTATAAAAGGGTAATACCTAATATTTAATTTCACAAACCTTAACAGTTGTATGCTAGATACTTATAGAGGTATTAATTGGAAACAGTATCCTTACAATACAGAAAAAAAACGTTTCAATATTTGATCCTAATGTTTCTGACAATCTTGATTTTTTTTTTCATTCATCTCAATAGTGTCAAGGGACATAATTCAATGTGAGAATTCAACTTCCATACCAGGAAGAGGAAGTGAGTTATTTCCCTTCCATTCAAAACCAAAAGAGGAAGTAAATCACTGAAAATAGCAAAACTGCTCACAGAAAGAAAACATATTATTTTCATCACATCATTGAGAATCAAACATTAAAAGTAAGTTAATTTTTCATAAAGTTTCACACTTATGTATAATATATAAATATGAATATTCACGCTTATGTATAATATATAAATATGAATATATGATAAAGGAACGTATTAAAATCAATAATATGATTCAAATTATCTTTTATTATTTTAAAATCAAAACCAAAAGAGGATGACTAGTTAACCTTTTCCTCATCATTTAGACGTGTTTTGACGGCTTTTTGCCCCCCTTTTTGAGGCATCAAACAGTGAAAAAATGCCACATTTAGGCCCAAACACTGTTTTTAATTTGAGAAATGTTGTTAAAAAAGTGACCACACTTTTTCAGCGCGGCCCCCATAAAAAAGAAAGATGTGCACCCTTCTGCTTGGGGGCTTTAAAGGGGGCGGTAGTCCCCCTCATCGCCAAGAAAATTTTGGAAATGTGACAGGCTAAAAATGACCTCAGATCGATCTTAGGGTAACTAGTAACCGGCGCTGAATAGCCTTTTACTCTATCTTAATTCATTGATAAGTTGCAGCACTTTGAAATCAGTTTTGTTGGAAAAAAATGCAAAATAGTGATTTTTCGCAATTTTTAGACGCCTCCCGTTGCCATGGTAACAGAAAATTTACGATTGAGCAGGCTGTTACTTACAGAGGCATTGGTCCAGTCACCATTTGTGCCAAGTTTCATCAGTATTGAAGCATTTTTCATAGTTTCATAGCAGTTTGAACTTGTAACAGGAAGCTTTTCAACGAAAACGGCCATTTTTCACAATATGCTCATGGGGTAAAAGGTTAAACAAAAGGGCCATGAGGGCCCTTATATTGCTAACCTGCTTATTAAAGCTTTTAATGGAACAATTAATACTGTTTACTATTGATTAAAAACAGATATAATTTCTTAATCTAAGAAATTCCACATATCAAACGTTACAGGCTTGTTGAAGTTTATGTCGGTTTAGCTTTGCCGAGAAGACGTCATATTTATAACATTAAATCTAAGACTGATATCATAACTCAATATCTGCACCGAAAATAGTACAGAGCAAATTCCAAATATGGGCTTTTTCATCTTGTTTTGACTCCAGAAGACCCATACTCAAACTTGAGTTTTAATTGATATTATTTCACATTCAAGTCCCACTCCTTTCACCCTTATGTCCGATCTAGTTTTTTTAGTGTGTCGGGGGCCGCGTCCTGTGAACGTTGCCTTTGCCTTGTTGATCTTTATTCTTGTTTTTATGCTCACAACCGTGTTGTTTGTGTCGTGTGGCGGCCGTAAAACGTCTCCCCGTACATGCAATCAATGTTGTTATATTTTCATCCACAAGGGATTATTCCGCGTTCATTGTTTGTTGCCCTCTTTCATGCCCTGCCTACATTTCACAATTATTCTATTTATTTTCTATACCCTTTTGAAAGTTCTGCGTTCACTGGTGCGTTAATATTTTTATTTTGTTTTTATAACCTGTTTTAGTTTTGTATTTGATTCAGACTCTCAGTTCTTTAATTGATGCACCATTTTTCGCAGAAAGCCATTTATTGCATACCCAATTATGAATAGTTTCAATTTAAATAATAAGGCCCGTTTTAGTTGATATTATTTCACATTACATGTCCCACTCCTTTCACCCTTGTGTCCGCTCGAGGTTTTTTTGAGTGTGTCGGGGGCTGCGTCCTGTGAACGTTGCCTTTGCCTTGTTGGTCTTTATTCTTGTTTTTTTGAGGTAGAAATCATTTTAACAACTTTACTGACATATTAACAGGATAGTTTAGGCTGTAAAATATTACCTTTATAGTGTTTAGTAACACTTTTCCATATTTAAGCTCTGTGCTTTTTAGACATGATAGAGTTAGAATCATCAACACAATCATACTGACCAATTTCCAACATATTTGGGCTGAAAATGTAATCTCTAGAATGTAAACAAAGATGTGCCATATTTGGGCTATGTGACCTAGTTTTTGACCGTATCTAAACCTGAGCTAGAGTGACTGCATCAACACTGCTGACAAATTTCTGAAATATTTTGGTTGAACATGTTGCCTTAAGAGAGTTATCAAGGTTTTTCCATATTTAGATTGTGTCACCTAGTTTTTGGCCCAAGTGACCCATATTCCAACTTTAGCTGGAAATCATCAAAACAATCAAACATCAAAACAACAGTTCAGTTTCCAGGATATATGGACTGAAAGAGTAGCCTCTACACTGTAAGAATATATTGTAGTTTTTGCTCCTTTGATCTAGTTTTCATCTGAGATAGCCCATGTTCGAACAATCACTGGCAAGTTTGGTGACAATTGAGGGGAAAATGTGACTGCTAGAGTGTTAGCAAACTTAACGACAGACGGCAGACATACAATGATCCCATAAGCTCGCCCCGAGCTAGCAAAGCAAATTGTAAAACAGAAAAAATAAAAAATATCATATACATGACATATTATTAAATCAACAAATTAAACACACAAATGCATGTATATAATAGCTTTTTGCAAAGTCAGAAACTATTACACACTTTCCTACTTACAACAAAAACAAAAGCACAATGATGGCGGCCATTGATCGCTCACCTGAGATTATTAAATTGCTAAAAAAGGTCACACAATTTTTCAACGTAAGGTCACATTGCATCTGTCATATTTTAACTCAAGCTGCACAATTTTTATAACACTGCTAAATACATTTTTTATTTGCCACAAAATGCTTAAATGTAAAACAGAATAGCTCTTGGTATTTAAGTTTCATACATAAAAACGTCTTTAATTGTCATTTTATTATATATGTTTTTGTTTTTTCAAAGAAGTAACACTTAAAACACTGTAACCCCGCAAACCCCAAAATCAATCAAGGACATTTATTGGCCAAAACCAATGCTACATCAAAGTTTCAGGGTCCGTGGGTTGTCAAGCTATTGGGCAGAAACAAATTTGGCATATGAAATCAATGTGACCTTGACCTTTGACCCTTAACCCTCAAATCAATAGGGGTCATGTACTGATCAAGAACAATGTTTATATGAAGCTTTCGGGTAATGGATCTATGCGTTCTCAAATTATTGACCTGAAACAATGTGCGACAGATGAGCCAATGGATAGCTGGATGGACAGCAGGACCATCAGACTGACATCATGCTGCTGAACAATGTGTACCCTTGTCTTCGAAGGGTTTGGAGGAAAAACAATGGTAGATAAAGTGACATGCTCATGCATTGGGTATATAGTAAGATAACAGTTGAAAGTCAAAATAAGTTGATAATTTTGCCGTTATTCCTGTCAATTTTATGATTTTCTTTGCATGAACAATAAATGGCATGGCCCAAGGAATATTTTTGTTATTTTCCATCGAAAATTACCTGTAATGCTTAATTTATAAAAAGAGTGGACCAGTGTTTTTATATTTTAGGTAAATTTATATTTTATCCTAAACATTTTTTAATTTCAACTGTTAGTCGATCACCATTAAAACAGTCAATCTTTTTAATTATAAAATCAATTAAGCTCATCTTTACAAAATGAGCCATCTTCAGGAGGGGGTCAACGCTCGAATTTGTAACTTTTTCCAAAGTTTCCTAAATTAGAGTTCAAAGTTTCAATTGCTTTAACTAAATGAAATTTACATCTACATCACTGGACATGAACTGGATTTAATGATGGGAATCATCCATATATAAAACGTATATCGATAAAAAATAATTGAGACTCCCATTTCTTTTGTTTTTGTTTTTATTTCGAACAATATCTGTCATTCGGAGTGAAGTGTACACAAGGGACAGTATAGTGGGGACTTCTACATGCATTCCTTTCCTGAATGATTTCCAGTGAGAAATTTAAAATATCATAAATATCACAAAAATGTGTTGAAAATCAGTGCTTTCGAAAATATGAGCAGTATTCAGTACTATAATTATATTTTAATAAGACCTTTCCACGGACAGTGTGATCCGCGTTTCTCGGTGCTTGACAGTAAAATAAAAGCAACATTGAAAAGAGACATCCAAAGTCAAAGTGTTGGCATAACTCAGGAAATAAAAATTACGAAATTACCTGCCCTTTAAAAATGAATTTCAATTTAAAAACTTTAAAAAAGTATTCCTATTTAGAAGTTATAAACTTGGACAGTTTATGAGAAATTGACCTTAGAAGAAAAAAAAATAAAAATGTGTCATAACTTTGCAAAAATGATTTTAAGACAACCCTTCTGACATGTTGTTATATTTTGATAGTGAATGTGTAAATCAAGTTTAAAGTATTTCTTTGATATTAACTAAAAATGGATGTTTTTACAAAATGGTTGACAAGTAAATTGATATTAGGATTATCTGCCCTTTTAAAGTAATGTACGGTCATGACAATTCACATCTTTATCATCTATATTTGAACAAAACTACTTTGATAGTGACTGAGAAAATGAACCTTTTGGACACTGACAAGTAGGTCATGGCGACTTTTTGTTTTTGTTTTGGGTTTTACGTCACATCGACACAGTATAGGTCATATCGCGACGTTCCAGCTTTACTGGTGGAGGAAGACCTCAGGTGCCCTTCCGTGCATTATTTCATGGCAATTACTCCAATGTCTATCACTACTCATATAACTAAAATTTCATGTCAAGTCTTGGACTCCACTCTGTTGTAAAATATAAAGCTTCAAATGAATAACTAATAGGATTACTTAAAGGCCCAGAAATGCTTAATTTTTTATTTCTCGAAAGCATTTTTTTATTGTTGCTTATCTGTTATATATTCCAAAAGGTCACTCATTGGACAATCGATTGCTTATATCAACCTTTGTCAATAAGTGCACTTATATTGACTGAGTTATAATTTTGGAAGTCAAAATACAAGTTTGTTTACATTTACCTACATTTTTTTTACAAATTATTTCAAATTACGTCCTTATCTTTCTTCATATGATCATCAACTTAAATGCTATCAAGTCATTAGTTAATCCCAAAACTTATGTAAGCCCTTTCTAAAGAAGGAAATAATTATTGCTTTCTTAGGCATTATGTCCCTCAAATAAACAAATGAAGCATGTTGGCCGTCCTTAACAACTGTTCCTTTTGTTATGTTACAGAATGTTTCCAGCACCTCACTACAGGGAACAGTTATCATTGATGTTATCCGAGGTTTTAGATGATATAGGTGTCAATGAACAAATGTTGATGAAAAAGAAAAGATCACTTGAGAAGAATGAGATTGATATTATCACGATTATGTCACTTAGTGAAAAAAATATGACTGGATGTTATTTAGGGAGTCAAATTGAAGGTACAACTACTAAAGGACTTAAATCAGATATAGATGGTATACTTTGTGACAATAATTACAATGTTATACAAGACTTGTCAGAGTGGAAACGTGGCAAAGTAAACTACCTCTTGATACAGGATGCAAACACCACCCCTGGATATTGTTTCCTACAATTGCTTCAGACTTATAAACCCAAACCTGCAACTAAAATTCCTGATGACCACCATATACTTGTACCTGAAAGAAGAAAGATATTGTGTAAAAACACATTTCTTAACGGCACTCAACATCTGTCTACTGGTTATAAACATCATGGACCATCCATCTCTGCAAATATCGAAGAAAACTGTAATGCAGATGTTGTGTTTGCTTTTCCATGTAAATCTTGGCCTCAATCAGCATCAGGTTGGTTAGAGAGACAAGGTACAGGAGGATGGCCAACACAACAGATGAGAAAATGTGCAGCCGAAACAAGGTGTTTTGTCGTTCCAACTGGAAGTAAGGTCAGTAAATATCCTGAACTGGAATGGAGAATATCTACATCCCTGGCAGAGAGACATCTTATGTTTAATCTTAATATGACACAAATAAGATGCAATGTGTTACTGAAAATGATTCTAAAATCATTCCTGAATCCTCATGGGGAAATAAATATATCAAGTTATATGATTAAAACAGTATTATTTCATTGTATAGAAAATACAGAAATAAGTATTTGGAAAGATAAAAATTTATTGACATGTGTGATATTCTGCTTACAGGAATTACACATTTGTGTACAAAATGAACATTGTTCCCATTTTATAATACCTATAAACAACTTGATGGCAGGGCAATTTTCTTTCGAGACAAACCATGAACTTTCAGGAAATATAAGTGACTTTATTCAGAATGATAGACAATGTTTGCTTCGAATTCATACTGATGATCTTGGATATAGACTACAAGTTAAACTGAACATGGTACCACAGAGAGTTTACAGGTCTGATTGTTCTTCTTTATTATTTATTATGTTTGCATTTAATATATTTTTATTCACACTAATTTCATTAAAGTAAACGGAAACATAGAAAAAATGAACCAGTATTGCAACAATATCCTTCCTTCCCTAATGACCTATGACATTGATAATGAAGAAACCGTTGCACATACCATATCCAAATATCAGGCACCTTTGGTCTGCACCACATATGGATCCGCCCTAGCATCATCCAGTATTGGCAAAAATAATAAGATATTGCCTGAAGCATTTAATTTGCTATCAGATGGTTTAAACTCAGATGTTTCATCTGGCAAGCTGAAACTGGCATCAGTATTCTACAGTATAGGAGAGATGGAGAAAGCTAAAGAAATTCTGAGACAAACTGAACAAAAATATCTCTCTCAGCATGTTATCCCTATCTGTCTAAGCGAAGAGAGGATTCCATCCACAGTATCTGAAGACATTGCAAGGGTATGTCAAGAACACAATGAAGACTTTATCAAACATATTGTAGCATTTTGTGTCCATTTCATACGGCTGGAGATCAACTGCGTTCCTCGTGAACTACAATATGAAATGTTCCGATCTACACAAGATGAAATAAAACACAGAGTTATAGGAATATTCCGGTTTAAAGACAGTTTTATGGACTGGGCTACAGTTGATTCTCTTCCATTCATATACTTTCTACAATATAAGATCTATGGTCATCTTAAAAGACATCAAGAAAAACAACAAGCACTCAATAAGCTTATGAGAACCACATTTCCTGGGGAAAACCTTAATCATAGAGAAACAGCTCTAAACATTTTAGGGCAAATTATGGAACAAGAAAATAGACCATATTATGCTTTCATTTGCTACATATATTCTCTGCGAGAAAGAGCATGAAATAATGCTGCAAAAATTCACTTATGCCGACTTCTGTCCTGTTTACTACAACCCAGAGTTGAAGAGACGTTGTACCAACCAACGTTGTACTGACAGTAGACCCTGATGTTTGGTAAACGTTTGCGGTTTGGATTTGACAGTATTTTAGATATCAGAAACCAACGTCTACACAACGTCATAAGATGACCTTTAACCACAATCCAGCCTTTTCTGACCATTACCTGACCATAATTCAACCTTTTGTGACCGTAATCTGACCATAACCAAATCTTTTCTCATCATGATCTGGCCATAATCCAACCTTCTCTGACCATGATCAGAGAGTGTCTCCAACCTTTTCTGACAATGATTTGGTCTCATTCCAAACTTTTTGGATAATGATTTATTCATTTTAAATTATATCCAAAACATTTTAGTATCAATTTCATATGAATAGGTCAATAGGGTAAACAAAAAAGCATTCATGTATTTTGAGCAATTAATTTTCAACACGGAATCACATACAAAACAATAAACGTGTTATAACAAAAGCAAGATATACATAATATGTTTGAAACTATTAAACTTGACAGTATGTTATAATAACGCTTCATGAATAAATTGAGCATGACTATAAGAAAAGACAAACGCTAGGCAGTCATATTTCAATTTTGACTGCTTAAATAAAAAAATTATTGTGATTTTATAATTTTCAATTTACCATTGTCTTAATTATACAGGTATGTGTCTTTTTATATTAAATGCTATTTTGGTATTAAGTTTCTATTGGTTTCTCAGCATTATGTTTGAAAATATACAATTTTGAGTAATTTGGAATTTAAAAAGCTCATTGATTCTATTTCTTGTTCTTCTTACATGCAAGTGAATGCTCAGAGTAATTCTTATTCCCAAAAGACATTATTTATTTTCACATTTAAGCTATTTCCCCCAAAACAATTAAGAGATTACATATTATGTTTTAAAAATATTAATGATTCTTTAATATTTATTTGTATTAAGGGCATGTTAATACTTTTATATTAATGGTACAATAAGGTACTACATATGATATTGGTACATAAAATGCATGTAATTATAATAATGTTCTTGAATAAATGTATATATTCCAACTTTGACAGCATAAATAAAATTTATTTAAATTGTGATTTTATTATTTTCAATTTACCATTGTCTTAATTATACAGTGAGACACAGGGAACAAAAATATATAGTTACCACGATTCAGACAGCCACACAACATCGTGAAACATATTCTAAAACATAATAACAAAATTTGTATGTGGACAGTATGCTCCACTTTTCTCAGTGATGGAGATTAATAGTAAAAGAAACATAGAAAAGGGGCAAATTTTTTAAGATAATTTCCTTTTATGAGAAAAACATGAATTCAAAGTTTGAATTTAATAGCTTTAAAGCCTCTGAGAAAATGGATCTTTTTTTTTAAAAGGTTACCGTAACTCACACCATATCTGATGCCAATGCCAATGAGGGGTTTATGGTAAAAAAAAGGGGGAGCTTAAGATAACCCTCTAACACAAACAGTTTATGTCATTTACTCCTTTTTGCAAGTTTAGATTATGAGTGGAGTGAAGCTCATAATCAGATAAAGGGAAAACCTATAGTCTCCCGGTGAACCAGGAGTGGACTTTAATTAATATTATTTTCTTCATATTTTACACTCTGATGTTAGAAATTATAAGTTTCGGGTACTATAAACATGGGTAACACTCACTGTTTAACTATACCTTTTTTGAAGCTATATATATTTCATTTATATCAGGCTCTTCGATATCATTCTATTGATAATCATTACAAAACATATGCTACTTTAAAAAAGGCATGTAAAGTAATAATAAATTGGTAACATTTACTAGAAGAATGTTACATTTTCACAAACAATCATGCTATTTAACACCCTTCTATTGATAATCATTACAAAACATATGACACTTTAAAAAAAATATGTAACATATAATTATCCCAATAATAAGTTGGTAACATTTGCTAGAAGAATGTTAGATCTTCATAAACAATTGCAATCTCATATACATCTCTTGAAGTTTTTTTTTCCTTAATTTCATATTGATGTGTTTGTTTCCTACTATTGCCTGATTTCTCTTATGACTATTTCATTTTGTGCAAATTTTAAGGTCTTTTTTCTGTTTCAACTGTAATTCAATCATGGACTAATTATTAAAAATTAAGATGTACAGTATATCATGTGCTGAAGGCCATTTACTTAAATTAAAGGCACATTATGCCTCAAAAATGAATGATTTGGCCTTCTTTGGAAAGGGCCAACAAGAGTTTTATAACACTGAAATAACAGTTTTAAAGCATATCAGATGCCTAAATATTCACATGAAGAAATGTTAAATCATGTTATATACCAGAAACAACAGAATTCAATGAAACTAGATTTTTTTAGGTTCATGCTTCACAGAAGCTTCTTCATCAAGTGCCCTGGTGCATATTATCAGCATTTTGCAGTTTAACATTATTGGGGAAAGTATGGCCTTTTAATTTTTTAACATATATACTACACAGATGAATGATATGTTTCTACACCTTTGGAAAACTAATTGTATCTAATTAGATACATATTAATACAAAGAACAAATTTTAGAACAATTAATTTTATTAATAATAATACTAAAATATTCATAAGATTGTAACAGGGAGTACATTACATGTATGTTGTTTGGTCATTTTGTTTGCTCTGCACATTTACTTGTTTATCATTTACTATATACAGGTATCATTCTATTATGCATTTATATATTATATATAATAATTATTAATTTAGACCTCCATGCGGTGTACTATTTCGTAAATAGTCAAAATGGAAACCCTAAAGGTTGCCCAAATGTCTAGAAAACTTTATGAGAACATTAAACATATAATTGAGATTGGTAACTGTTGTGGTTTGATCCTAAATTAGGTAAAATAAAACATTAACATTTTTAATGATTTAATTTCACATCTTACTAACATAAATTTGAGAATAAGGGTTTGCTTAGACTTCATATCTCTTTTAATAACCAGCTCCTAAAAATTTCATTTTTGTTTTATGCATTATTTTGGGAGATTCAAATATGTTTTGTTTTGGTCAAAGCATTGAGAAAGAAGCTTTTTTACCCTTACCACACTAAATACATGTATCTTAGATGCAATTGTCCATCTTGGTCTTCACTCCGGTCACATGGGTTAGATAGATTAGATAGATTTATTTCAGTATTCTGCAATAACATGGTAAAACATATTCAATACATTATAAAACAATAAAATCAAATATCAATGTATAAGAAATTAACCATATCAAAAACATCATACCAAGGATAACACAAGAAGAGGGTAGTTTATTTCACAATACACATCCATTGTAAGCAAAAGACTTTAATTCGAAACCTTTGACCTTAGGTAGCATATAACACCCATTTTTACTTGACCTGGTCCTTTAAGTATAAACAGAATCTAATGGAATAAAGTTTTCTCCGATATATTCAGGGACAAGTCCATGTTTTATTTTAAAAACATAACAGAGGATAATTTGATCGACTGACAGGCAAATAAGTAGATTCAGTTGCTGGCAGCAGGCTTAATGTTAAAATAAGCCAATCAAATTTTTCTTACAACTATATGAGAAGACGAACACTTGTGTCAACAAATAACCGATTTAACATAAAGTACGCAATTATCATTTATGTTGGACAATAAAATTACATAAATACATTGTGTATATCAATGAAACATCTTGTATTGACAATAATTAACATTTCAATAAAACAATGCAATTCTAGTACAGAAACTCAAGTGTATTTTGAGTGCATTTCATTATCAATAATTATATCACATGTTGCTGTTATTCATCATGATAGCTATATAATGTAAGATGTAAAAGGAGAAAATGTACAATTACTTCATAATCTCAGTAGTTGGTGTAAACTGTAAAAATATTCTATTAAAGTTAACATATCCAAAAAACAACCTGCTTTTAGATGAAAATGATATTGTGAGATACAAAAACAGAGCAGATAATTATTGCATAAGAAAAAAACAAAACAAAGTAGATAACTTGTTCTAAAAGTCAATGTAAAAAATCTTAAAGGGATGATCCCTATCCCTCAGAGACAATGTAAAAACTGCAGACACTGGGTCTGTTCATGAAAGATAATAACATAAAACTATCTTTTGAGGTAATTATTACTGCTAAACAGGGTTTTTATTTTGGTTTAGTTGGGTTTTAAGTTACACCAGCTCTGAAAAAGGTTTTTGCCTTGAATTGCATAAGTTAAGTATGAATAAATGACTGAATAACTTACATATCCATCAGGTTTAGTTTTAAATCTAATATCTTCAGCTTTAGGTGCTACAGAAACTGCCCCTGAAAATAATAAATACAAGAAATAGAGTCTTTATTTAGTGCATTTGTTTCAAATTGTTATGAATTTTATTCACTTTAAATATAAAGCTAAATAAATAAAACTAAAACTAGAACTGTCAGTGAATGTGATACTTAAAATCCCCCTCAAAAAGCTTTTATTCCTAAAACAAGAGTCAACACAAGGAGAGGCACACATTTTTTCTTACTACAAAATGCAAAATGCAAAAACATTGACAGACATTTGTATTAAAAAGTTCTTTCGAAGGTCAAGGTTATATTTGAATCTATTCTTCAAATACATGTGTAGTCATGTTACTTAGAGAAAAAAATGAACAAAACACAATATGAAGTAATGCACAATGCATGTGTTTAACTTCTGGCAATCTATCATGTGTTTCTATTATATATTAGAATCTAAACCAAATAAGTAAAAAAAAAACTGTTTTAATCTTTTTGTAATTTAAACTTCAGAATGTTTCATATTCATAATATTCATAAGTCCATAATAAAACGATATTGTAGTAAGCGTTAATAAAAGGGTGATACATAATCATAATCAAAAGTGTAGAGGGACATTATTCAATAACTTTTATACCAGGAAGAGGAAGTGAGTTATTTCCCTTCCATTCAAAACCAAAACAGGAAGTATTAATAATCACTGAAGCACACAGAAAGAAAACATATTATTTTCATTACATCAGTTAAAAGTAAGTTAACTTTTTTCCATAAAGTTTCGTATGTATAGATCTAATATATAAATATGAATATATGATAAAGGAACGTATTAAAATCAGTAATATGATCAGGGTTTACATTCAAATTATCTTTTATTATTTTAAATTCCAAGTAAAAGAGGATGACTAGTTAAACAAAAGGGCCATGAGGGTCCTTATATCGCTAACCTGATTATTAAGGCTTTAAATGGAACAATTAAAATTGTTAACTATGGATTTAAAACTGATATAATTTCTTAATCTTAGAAAGTCCAATATATCAGACGTTACAGGCTTGTTGTAGTTTATGTCGGTTAAACTAAGCAAGACAGATATCTGCACCGAAAATAGTACAGAACAAATTCCATTATGGACTTTTTTTTATCTGGTTTTGTCCCAAGATGATCCACACTTAAACTTGAGGTAGAAATCATTTTAACAACTTTACTGACATATTTACAGGATAGTTTAGGCTGTAAAAGATAACATTTATACTGTAGTGTTTAAAAACATTTTTTTCTATATTTGGGTTCTGTGACTATTTGACATGATTAAATAAAAAGCATTCTGACCAATTTCCAACATATTTGGACTGAAAAAGTAATCCGTAAAATGTAAACAAACTTAAGATGTTTCATATTTGGGCTATGTGACCTAGTTTTTGACCCTAGATAATCCTTATCTAAACCTTAGCTAGAGTAACTGCATCAGCACTGCTTACAAATTAGTGAAATATTTTGGTTGAACATGTTACCTAAAGAGAGTTATCAAGGTGTTTCCATATTTTGATTGTGTCACCTAGGTTTTGGCCCCAGGTGACCCATATTCTAACTTTAGCTAGAAATCATCAAAACAATCAAACATCAATACAACAGTTCTGACCAATTTTCAGGATATATGGACTGAAACAGTAGCCTCTACACTGTAAGAATATGTTGTATTTTTGCTCCTTTGATCTAGTTTTCATCTGAGATAGCCCATGTTCGAAAAATCACTGGCAATTTTGGTGACAATTGAGGGTAAAATGAGATTGCTAGAATGTTAACAAACTTAACGACTGACGGCAGACATACAATGATCCCATAAGCTCGCCCCGAGCTAGCAAAGCAAATTGTCAAACAGAAAAAATAAAAAATATCATATACATGACATATTATTGAATTAACAAATTAAACACACAAATGCATGTATATAATAGCTTTTTGCAAAGTCAGAAACTATTACACCCTTTCCTACTTACAACCAAAACAAAAGCGCAATGATGGCGGCCACTGATCGCTCACCTGAGATTATTACATTGCTAACAAGAGGGCCATGATGGCCCTGAAGTCGCTCACCTGTATATAGGCCCCCAGAGCAGGGCCAGTTTAAACCCCAGGGCTTTTATTTGAACAGACTTGGTAGACATCAATTACAAAATGTTTCATGCTAAACATCTACGGTCTAGCTTGTTGGGTTTTTTTTAAAAGAAGATTTTTTTTTCAAGTTTATTTCTTTACACATATTGTTAAAAACAATGACACACCTGGGGCAGGGCCAGTTTTGACCCCAGGGCTTTTATTTGAACAATCTTTGTAGACACTTACAAGACAATGTTTCATGCTTAATATCTGAACTCTAGCTATTCAGGGTTTTTCAAAGAAGATTTTTAAGTTTTTGTTCTACACATATAAGGAAAATCAATTTCCCCTGTGACGGGGCCAATTTTAACCCCAGGGTTTTTATTTGAACAAACTTTGTAGACACTCACTAGAAGATGCTTCGTGCTTAATAAATTCTAGCTATTTGAGTTTTTTTTCAAAGAAGATTTTTAAGTTTTTGTCATACACATATAAGGAAAATGAATGACCCCCTGGGGCGGGGCCAATTTTGACCCCAGGGCTTTTATTTGAACAAATTTGGTAGACACCCATTAGAACATGTTTCATGCTTAGTATCTAAACTCTAGCTATTTGTTTTTTTTTTCAAAAAAGATTTTTTAAGTTTTTGTTATAAACATATAGGGAAAATGAATGACCCCCGGGCGGGGCCAATTTTGACTCCAGGGCTCTTATTTGAACGAACTTGGTAGACATCCATAAGAACATGTTTCATGCTAAATATCTTAGCTCTCACTCTTTGCATTCTTTAAAAGATTTTTTTTAAAGTTTTTACTAAATGCATATAGGGAAAATCAATGACCCCCTGGGGCGGGGCCAATTTTGACCCTATGGCTTTAATTTGAACAAACTTGGTAGACACTCACTAGAAGATGTTTCATGATTAATATCTAAACTCTAGCTATTTGGGTGTTTTCAAAGAAGATTTTTTATGTTTTTGCTATACACATATAGGGAAAATCAATGACCCCTGTGGCGGGACCAATTTTGACCCCAGGGCTTTAATTTGAACAAACGTGGTACACACTCATTAGAAGATGTTGCATGCTAAATATCTTAGCTCTAACTCTTTGGGTTCTTTAAAAGAAGATTTTTAAGTTTTTACAATATGCATACAGCAAAAATCAAAGACCCCCTGGGGCGGGGCCAATTTTGACCCCAGGGCTTTAATTTGAACAAACTTGGTAGACTATCACTAGAAGATGTTTCATGCTTAATATCTTAACTCTAGCAATGTGGGTTTTTTCAAAGAAGATTTTTTAAGTTTTTGATATACACATATAAGGAAAATCAATGAAGTCCGGGGCGGGGCCAATTTTGACCCCAGGGATTTTATTTCAACAAACTTGGTAGACACCCATTAGGACATGTTTCATGCTAAATATCTAACCTGTAGCCTTTACAAATTCAGAGAAGTAGATTTCTTTTAGGTTTTACAATATACATATAAGGAAAAACCTATGACCCCCAGGGCGGGGCCAATTTTAGTTCTAGGAACAAAATTTGAACAACTTTGGTTTTGGACCTATAGATGATACCATAGACCAAATATCAAAGCTATAGGCCATTTATTTTCAGACCAGAAGATTTTTCAAGTTTTCACTATTTGTATATAATGAAAATTAATGACCCCCGAGGGCGGGGCCAATTTTGACCCGAGGGCCATTATTTGAACAAATTTGGTAGAGGTCTACCACACAATTTTTCATGCCAAATATCTTACCTGTAGCCTTTGCCAATTCAGAGAAGAAGATTTTTTTTATGTTTTACTATATACATATTAGAAAAACCTATGAGCCCCCGGGGCGGGACCAATTTTTACAATAGGGACAAAATTTGTACAACTTTGGTATTGGACCTTCAGATGATACCTTAGACCAAATATCAAAGCTCTAGGCCATTTACTTTCAGACCAGAAGATTTTTCAAATTTTTACCATATGTATGTAATGAAAATCAATGTCTCCCCGGGGCGGGCCAATTTTGACCCTAGGGCCATTATTTGAATAATCTTGATAGAGGTCTACTACACAATGTTTCATGCCAAATATCTAATCTGTAGCCTTCGCCAAATCAGAGAAGAAGATTTTTTTTAGATTTTACTATATACATATAAGGAAAAACCTATGACCCCCAGGGCGGGGCCAATTTTGACACTAGGGACAAAATTTGAACAACTTTGGTAGAGGACCCATAAATGATATCATATACCAAAAATCAAAACTCTGGCCCATGTATTTTCAGACAAGAATTTTTTTGAATCTTGTGTTTTTTGAAATCCTTTTCTGGCCCTATGACCTACATATGCAACAGACCGGAACCATTTGAGCAACTTTGAAAGGGGACGACATTGCTAAATATTTGCTACTAAATGTTTAAATGTCAAACAGAATAGCTCTTGGCATTTTAGTTTCGTACATAAAAACGTTTTTAAATGTCTTTTTACTATGTATGTTTATGTACTTCAAAGAAGTAACAATTAAGGCCCTATAACCCCGCAAACCCCAAAATCAATCAGGGACATTTAATGGCCAAAAAATGCTACATCGAAGTTTCAGGGCCCGTGGGTTGTCAAGCTATTGGGCAGAAACCAATTTGGCATGTGACATCAATGTGACCTGACCTTTGACTCTTAACCCTCAAATCAATAGGGGTCATGTACTGACCAAGACCAATGCTTATATGAAGCTTGAGGGTATTGGATCCATGCAATCTCAAATTATCGACCTGAAACAATGTGCGACAGATGGACCAATGGATAGATGGATGGACAGCAGGGCCATCAGACTGACATCATGCTGCAGAACAATGTGTACCCTTTTCTTCAAAGGATTTGGAGGAATAACAATGGTAGTTTAAGTGACATGCCCATCCAATGTTATATAGTAAGAGAACAGTTGAAAGTCAAAATAAATTTATCAATTGCCGTAATTCCTGTCAAATGTATAATTTTACTTGCATGAACAATAAATAACTCTATAATTATCTATCGAAAATTACCTGTAATGCTCAATTTATAAAAAGAGTTGGTCAGTGTTCATATATTATAGGTAGATTTATATTTTATCCTTAAATCACCATTATAACTGTCAATCTTTTGAAATACACAGTCAATTAAGCTCATCTTTACAACAAAAGCCTTCTTCAGGAGGGGGCAACACTCCATTTTTTTCTTGAAAGTTTTCTAAATTAAGACCTAAAGTTTCAGCTTATTTAACTAAACGACATTTTACATCTTCATCACAGGACATGAACTGGATTTAATAATGGAAATTATTAATGTAGAAAACGCAAATCACATCAATAAGAGCAAGGGCAATATTGTTGCAACATTCGTCCGTCACAAAAGCTTTTGACAGAGATGTGAGCATTATATACGAGGGTTGTCCAAAAAATTCGTGCACTGCAGTTATCGTCGTGAGAGTAATTATTAAAAACAAAAGAATTATATATCACTTGAAGGGGAAATCTGTCTCCAATACGAAAACAAAAGAAAAAGCCGAGTAACCGGCGTGTCGTTTAAATGAATGGTCATTAAGTTACCTTAGTAACGTAATACCGGCGCACGACAAAAAATGGGTTAGTTCATTTCTGTAATTGCATAAATTGTTTGTTGCTTGTAAAGTTGCATTTGCTTTTTATGTTATAATTTGTTTAACTGTCAATAGAGAAATGATTGATGCAAAGTATTTTGTACTTTTTATTGTTCTTATGCAACGTACATGTAACATATTCCACCAGTGCTCGAATATATTGGACAACCCTCGTCACATGCGCCGGCATTACGGACGGACGTCTGTCTGACTGACCGGTTGTCATCGTCTACCGACACTCGCCCTTCTACAAAGTGTTTGTGTCATTTATAAACCAGCCTTCGTGACACTGAACTTGTCCCGCTTGCCCTTTTAAGTTCTTTGTAGGTATTTGTTGGTGTTTTACCAATATTTGCTCAAAATTTAATGATCGCCCGTATTTCCAGACGTTAAGCGACTGACAATATCACGTAATTACAGTACTGACGACCATCCATAAATGTTTGTTTACGATCGTTACAATAAGGCAAATGACGTTATATTTTCTAGTGACGTTGGGAATACGTACACAAACTTTTTCCAGAATTTTGACGTTTATTTGTAGTGTTTAAAGTATACCGTGATGCATCAAAGTAAAGAACTAACCCAATTGTTTGTCGTGCGCCGGTATTGCGTTACCAAGGTAACTGTATGACGATTCGTTTACACGACACGGGGGTTACACGTTTTTTTCTTTTGTTTTCTTATTTGAGACAGATTTCTCCTTCGAGTGATATATAATTCATGTTTTTCTATCAATAACTCTCACGACAATAACTGCAGTGCACGAATTTTTTGGACAACCCTCGTATATGTATATGGGAGATATGTTCTGGGCAATTTCCCGAAAATATCCGAATTTTTATCATCTTTAGTGACATTGACCTTGCAAATATTAACCTAAATTACATGTGTCACACTTGTAGTCATGATAGTTATCACTTGTATTACAATCCATCAATAAATAATGACTAAATGGTCTCGAACACAAACTTTGACCTCTCTTTAAAACTTTGACTTTAGTATAAGGGACCTAGATTATGTGCACATTAAGCCTAAAAATGGTGAACATTTGTTTCAAGTTACATTAAAATCCCCCCAATGCATATAGAAGTTCGGAACAAGAATTTTTCAATGATCTCTTAGTGTGACCTTAACCTTTAACCTAGAGACCTGCTTTATACATGCGCCACTGCTTCTCATAGTGGTGAACATTTCTTTAAAGTTCCATAAGAATCTCACAATGCTTGGAAGATATGATCTGAACAAAATTTCTATATCTCACCATCTTTAGTGATCTTGACCATGCATATATTAACCTAATTACTTGTTTCACACCAGTAGTTATGATAATGACCATATGTGTTTTAACCCATAAATAAACGATTACTAAATGTTCCGGATACAAATTTTCAAATTTTTATTTGAACTTTGACCCCTATGTGCGACCTTGACATTGGCTGCAAGGACCTAAACTTTGCTTAGAACCATCTGCCTTACAATGGTAAATATTTGAGCCAAGTTATATTGAAATCCCTGTATGCATGCAAGTTTTGCTCCGGACAAACGATTTTCATTGACCTCTAAGTGTGACCTTGACCTTAAACCTGGATACCTTGTTCAAGAACATGACACCGCTTCTTACAGTGTTGAACATCAATATGAAGTTTCATTAGAATCCCTCCATATGTGCAGGATATATGCTCTGGACAAAATCCCTAGATTGGTTGCGTTCATTGAACGCCGCCATTCCTTGTTGATCTTGTTTGTCATATTTAATCATTTTACTGACCTCGAATATCATCTTTAGTGACCTTGTCCTTGAATATATTAACCTAAATTACATGTTTCACACCAGTAGTCATGATAATGGCCATTTCTTTTTCAATTTTTCAATGCCTCATTAAATGATGTCTAAATGGTCCTTTCAAAATTTTTCATATTTTTCTCTGAAATTTGACCCATGTGTGATCTTGGCCTTGACTGCAGGGACCTTAATTTGCACGCCACACTCCGCCTCACAATTGTAAACATTTGTCCCAAGTAATATTAAATCCCTTTATATGCATGTAGAAGAAGTTTTGCTTCCGTGTTCTTGATGACCTCTAAGTGTGACCTTGAACTTTATGCTCTGGACAAAATCTCTATAATTTATCATCTTAAGTGACCATGATAATCATCTTGAGTGACCTTGACCTTGCATATATAAACCTAAGTCACATGTTTCACACCAATAATCATGATAATAACCATTTGTGTTTTAATCCCTCAATAGATTATGACTATATGGCCCGAATACATATTTTCTTATTTTAATCCGGACAAGCGTTTTTCAATGACCTCTAAGTATGACCTAGACCTTTGACCTAGAGACCTGGTTCAAGCGCACAACACGGCTTCTCAAAGTAGTGAACATTTTTATGAGGTTCAAACCGAGCCTGCAACATTTTCAATTTTGCCGTGTTGGGCTTTCTTTAGGGATTCTGTATTTATCTATTTCATCAAAATTCCCCCATGCGATTAGGAGATGTGCTCCTGACAAAAATTGGATGCCGCCCGCCAATCCACCTGCCAGACAGGAGAAGGATTCTTTAATACAACCTGTTTTTCAAACAGGTATATAAAGATAATTGAGACTCCCCTTCGATTTTAAATTTTATTTTAATTTCGAACAATATTCATTCAGAGTGAAGTGTACACAAGGGAAACTAGGGACTTCTAGATGTACTCCTGAATGATTTTCAGTGTAAAATTAAAATATCATAAATATCAAAGACATTACAAAAATGTGTTGTAAATCATTCCTTTCAAAAATATGAGTATTATTCTTTACTATATCTTTTAATAAGATCTGTCCACGGACAGCGTGCTCCATAATTCTCGGTGCTGGACAGTAAAATAAAAGCAACCTTGTAAAAGGTTAACCGAGACATCCAAAGTCAAAGTGTTAGCATGACCCAGGAAATAAAAATTACGAAATTATCCTGCCCTTTAGAAATTTATTCCAATTTAAATACTTAAAAGAGTATTCCTATGTAGAAGTCATAAACTTTGACAGTTTATGAGAAATTGACCTTAGAAGAATAAAAAGTAAAAAATTTTCATAACTTTGCAAAAAAGAATTTTAAGATTACCCTTCTGAAATGGTGTCATATTTTGAAAGTGAATATGTATATCAAGTTTAAAGTGAATTTCTTTGATATTTGCTGAAAAATGTTTACAAAATGGTTTACAAGGGCTAAAGATGTTGAAAAAGGTTTGTAAAAATGTTTTTAGGATTACCTACGGGTAGTAAATAATGTACGGTCACGACAATTCATATCTATATCAAGTTTAAACAGAATTACTTTGATAGTTACTGAGAAAAGAGATCTTCAGGAAAATTATCAACTCTGACACTGACAACAGAGTGATGACAATAGCTCCAATGTCTATAACAACGCATATAACTAAAATTCAAGTCTTGTCAAGTCTGGAACTCATGTTCCGCTCTGTTGTAAAACATAAATCTTCAAATGAATAACAAATAGGAGTAATTAAAGGCCCAGAAATGATTTAATTTTTTATTTCTCGAAAGCTTTTTTTATTGTTGCTTATCTGTTATATATTCCAAAAAGTCACTCATTGGACACTCCTTTGCTTATATTACCTTTTAGCGTTATTATTTTGTATGGAAGTCAAAGTACAAGTTTGTTTACATTTTGCTACTTTTATAACAAATAATTTCTAATTACGTCCCTAACTTTCCTCATGTAATCAGCAACTTAAATGCTATAAAATCCCAAATCTTATGTAAGCCCTTTCTAAAGAAGGACAAAAATTATTGCCTTCTCAGGCATTATGTCCCTAAAATTAACAAATGAAACTTGTTGGCAATATTTAACAACTTCCCCTTTTGTTATATTACAGAATGTTTCCAGCACCTCATTACAGGGAACAGCTTTCAATAATGTTATCAGAGGTTTTAGAGGACATTGGTGTCAATGAACAAATGGTGATGAGAAAGACAAAATTAATGAAGATGCTTGAGACTATGAGTACTGTTACAATGAGGTCAAATGGTACAGATATGACTTCATATATTTTAGGTAGTCAATCTGAAGGGTCAACTACTATAGGACTTAATTCAGACATAGATTTTGTAGGATGTGACGATAATGTCAATGTTATACAAAATTTGTCAGAGTGGGAACATGGCAAGCAAAACTATCTCATGATACAAAATGAAAACACTACCCCCGGGTATTGTTTTCTACAACTGCTTCGACATGACGAACCTCTTCCTGTCACTGAACGTCCTGATGACCACCATATACTTGAAAAAAGAAAAATTTTGAGTAAAAACACAATTAAAAATGACTATCTGTATTCTGGTGATGAGCAGCATGGGCCATCCATTGCTACGCTAGGACAATATGTATTCTGTGATAAAGACAATGTGCTTGCTTATCCCTGTAAATCATGGCCTCAATCAGCATTAAGTTGGTTAGAAAAAAAAGGTACAGGGAAATGGACAAATCAAGAGATGAAAAGATATGCAGTCGATACTCGTTGTCTTGTTGTTCCAACTGGAAGCAAAGTCAGTGTACACCCTGAACTTGAATGGAGAATATCTACATCACTGGCAGAGAGATGCCTAATGTTGTATTTAAATATAACACAAATCAGGTGCTATGTATTAATGAAAATGATTCTTAAATCATTTCTGAATCCTCTGGGGAAAATAAACATATCAAGTTATATGTGTAAACAGTTTTATTAAATTGTGTAGAAAACACTGAACAAAGTATATGGAAGGAGGACAATTTATTAACATGCTTGATATTCTCTTTACAAGAATTATACTGTTCTGTACAGAATGATTATTGTTCACATTTCATTATATCTGAAAACAATTTGATGGCAGGGCAATTTTCTTCTGAGACAAAACAAAAACTTTTAGAAAATATAAGTGACTTTATTCAGAATGATGGACGTTCTTTCATTGGAATTGATATTGATGATCTTGGATATAGACTTCAAGTTAAACTGAACATGGTGCCACAAAAAGTGTATGGTTTTCATTATTCTCTTCAAACATTTGCTTTAGTATACATCAACTTTGCATTCATATTAAGTGATATTCACCAACATTTTTTCAAAGAATTACAAAATGAAAATATTGAAAAAATAAACCAATCTGTTGGAAAATTAGTTTTCCAAATGACCTATGCCATTAGTAATGGTGAGAGACTACAACACACTATATTCAAGTTTCTTGCACCTTTGACCTTTACCACATATGGATCTGCCTTAGCATCATCCAGTTTTGGGGCAAATAATCAAGTACTACCTGAAGCAATGGATTGGCTATCGGCTGGTTTGACCTCAGATGTTACTTCTGGCAGACTGAAAATGGCATCAGTATTCTACAGTATAGGAGAGATGGAGAAAGCTGAGGAGATCCTTAGACGAACTGAACAACTATATAACTCTCATCCTGTTTTATCAATTTGCAGCCGCTTATTGAGGTCTCCACCAACAGTATCTGAAGACTTTGCCAAGGTATGCATTGAAGATAATGAAGACTGTATCAAACATATTGTAGCATTTTGTGTCCATTTCATACCGCAGGAAATCAACTGCGTTCCTCATGAACTACAATATGAAATGTTCAGATCTACACAAGATGATAAGTTATACAGAGATCCATTATATGACTGTTGGATGGACTGGGCTACAGTTGATTCTCTACCTTTCTTGTACTTTCTACAATACAAGATCTACAGTCATCTACAAAGACAAGAAGAAAAACAACAAGCACTCGATAATATTAAAAGAACCATAGTAACTGAGGAAAACATTTCACATATAGAAACAGCACTCAATATTTTAGGGCAATGTATGGAACAAGAAAACAGACCACAGGATGCTTTAGAATATTACATACGTTCCCTGCAACAAAGAACAAGAAACAATGCAGCAAACATTCATATATGCCGGCTTCTCTCCCGTTTACTAGTTGCCAAATAAATTGGACAAAATACACATATGTGATAAGATTTGAAGTTTGAAGTAATACTGTACTGCGTGTCCATATCAAACTGATTCAAATGTAAAATCATGTGCCTTTCATCCTTGCTGTTACAGATGATATTGATCATCCAAGTGTAACATGGTTTAAAGCTTCTACCTTAAATTTTTGGAGTAAAATGCTACTTAGAAAAAAAACAAGTGGGCAATAATTGCCCTGAAATTGCTCACCTGAATATAAAACTCTCCAAGACAAGGAACAAGTAATACTGCAATCTGTAGACAATTTTGTTCCCAGGGCCTATGTGTGAACAAACTGATAAGAAGATTTTTCATACTTAATATCTAAGCACTAGCTCTTTGTTTTTTTTTTTAATATTTTGGTTTTACAATATACATATAAGGGAAATCAATAAACCCCTTTTGCGGTGCCAATTTTGACCTCAGGCCCCGTGTTCACAAAGATTTTAAGATCAGGATCAAGATCAGGATCAAATTTAAAAACTCAAATACTCTCCATTATTTATCCTCATAGAGTAAATATTCAGTATTAACTTGATAAAACTGGACTTGAAATAGCATGTTTATGAAATTTTAGAATAAATTATTGTTATTTTTACAAGATATTGGCCTTTTACAGTTGATTCAAATTTTGATCTTGATCCTAAAATTGATCCTTATTTTGATCCGATTATTTTTGTATTTGTTTTGTTATTTGTTGATTTTATCCCAAAATAGATTTGTTTCTTTGCAAATAAGCAATTATTTATATTTCGAATATGTACCATTTAATTCTAGCATAATACAATCAGTTTTACTTTTATATATTAATGAAAATAAAATCAGGACCATCTGATTCTAATCCTGATCTTTTCTTTGTGAACACGGGGCCAGGCTTTTATTTGAACAAATTTGGTGGATACATTTAAGATTTTTTCATGCTAAATATGTAAACTCCAGCTCTCCAGAGTTTTTTTATTAAAAGAAGATTTTTTTTAATATATACATATAGGGAAAACCAATGACCTGCTGGGGCGAGGCCAATTTTGAACATAGGGCTTTTATTTGAATACACGTGGTAAACACCCATTAGAAGATGGTTCATATTTTATATCTTAGCTCTAACTCTTTGGGTTTTTTGAAAGAAGATTATTTAAGTTTTTACTATATACATATTAGGAAAATCAATGACCCCTGCGGTTGAGCCAATTTTGACCCTAGAGCTTTTATTTGAACAACATGGTCATGGACACTCACTAGACGATGTTTCGTGCCCAATATCTCAGCTCTAGCTCTCAGGGTTTTCTAAAAGAAGACTTTTTAAGTTTTTTCTTTTGGCTACCATGGCAACCAGAGTTCTGCATGGAATTTAATTCTTTTGAACCATTTTCAAAGGTGCCCACAAAAGTTCCTGTTTGTGTGAAATTGGCTCAGCGGTTTATGAGGAGATGTTGTTTAAAGTAAAAGTTTACGGACTGACGCGGGACGTACGGACGCCACACGAAAAGCGATCACAGAAGCTCACCCTGTCACTTTGTGACAGGTGAGCTAACAAAACAAATAATAAAGTTTGGTTAACAAGATGAAAAAGTTTTTTTAATACATGAATTTGATTTCATAGATTACTTATCAAACATAACAGACATTCATAAGTAAGGCTTATCTTAAAAACATTCATGTCTGCTTTCTGTCCAGTATATAATTTGTTTATTCAGTTTAGTATAGCCAATTCAGACTATAACTATTTATCACAGGCAATATTTTATATTCAAGGTCATACTTGATTTGAAAGGATCTTTTTCAAAAATCAGTGCCCGACACTTGGAGTGTTATATTTGTGAAAAATCGGTTATATGTTCAGTTTATAACTTTCTCATTAATGGATGGACTTTCAAGAGTTTGTTAGTAAATAATAGTGAATAGATATGGTTTCTTATTTAAAAACTGAAATGGTTTCTGATTTGTAGCTGAAATGGTTTCTGACTTGAAAATGTGGATTTATGTCATTATAAATGATGACTTTCTAAAGACGGTATGTGTTTCGACTGAAAATCATGGATGTTTTTTTACAGCATTGGGCATACTGAGATGATAAAATGTGTTTTTTGTTAATGTTTCTTTATTCTTGTAACAATCTTTTTATATTATCTATGCCTTCATTGTATATCAGAGTAAATGATTCCTATACTCTGCCCAGCTTACTCTGCCTATCTATTGTTTCAAAAATCTTAGAAAGAACTGTATATAATCAGTTAGAATCTTTTTTAGTTAAGCAGGGACTATTATATGAATTACAAAGTGGTTTTAGATGTAATTATTCTACTGACTCCTGCCTAATCCATCTCACTGACCATGTAAAAAGTCAAACTTCCAAAGGACTGCTCACCGGTATGATTATGTTAGATTTGCAAAAGGCGTTTGACACTGTGGACCATTACATCTGTGTAGAAAGTTACAAAAAATGGGTGTGGAGTCAGTAGATTGGTTTCAATCTTATTTAACTGGTCGTAGTAAAATTGTAAATGTAAATAATACTATGTCTGAAGCTATGAATATTACATGTGGTGTTCCTCACGGAAGTATTTTGGGCCCTCTATTGTTTCTATGTTATGTCAATGATATGAGTATTAGTATTAGCAAAAAATGTAAGCTTATTCTTTATGCAGATGATAATTCACATAAAGATCCAGATGTTATTTGAAATGTTTTAGGTAAGGAACTAGAAAATTGTAGTAAATGGCTTGTTGATAATAATCTATCATTACATCTTGGTAAAACAGAATGTATTGTTTTTAGTTCTAAGAGGAAAACTAGAGCAGTTTAAAATACACTGTAATAATCACACCATACAATCTCAGCCATCAGTAAAGTATCTCGGTTCTATCTTGGATAATGATCTTTTAGCCATTGTTGATAATATAGTACAAAAAGAAAACTCTCGATTAAAATTTTTGTATAGACAAGGCAACAGTTTGAATATGGAGCTAAGAAAACTATAATGTAACTCTTTAATACAGTGTCACTTCGTTTATGCCAGCTCATCTTGGTATAGTGGCCTTACTAAACAACTTAAACATAAACTTCAAGTAGCACAAAACAAAGTTGTTCGTTATATTCATGGTTATTCCTCTAGAAAATCATTGAAAGTTATTGATTTTAGCAGTATTGGGTGGCTTAATATAGAAAATAGAGTCATACAGTTAAGACTCAATCATGTACACAAAATATTTGATAAAAAGTGTCCATCTTATATGTATGATAACTTTGCTTTAAAGTCTGATGTTCATTGTAATAATAGTGTAGGGAACTTTCATATACCCCATGTTAATAGTTTTACAAAAAGTACATTTTTACCAGGGTATTAGGGATTGGAACATGCTCCCACTTGATATTAAAAAGGAAAGTAACTTTTTTTAACTTTAAAAAGAAAGTAAAAGCTGAACTAAGCAAATATATGAAACAATTTGAACAAGCTGATTTTTTTTATTAGTTTTAGAGATAATTGTTTTAATCAATATAGTATGTTTTATATAAATGTATCTTGTGATTGGTTTTGTGATATATATAAATAGATATCTTTCATTGGTGTGATAACTAGTCATATTCATAGTATTATTCCTGCAAATATGTGATATATTTAATTAACATAATGTGCAATAGAAATTATTATTATTTTATCTTAGAAATTTAACATCAGTCCAGTATATCATCTCTAAGTATGGACCTGAATGCCAGTTCTCAAGAAAATATATTCTTTAACATCAAAGGACCCCATTGGAAATAAGTTTGGGTTATCCTGTGTTGTATATATTGTCTTGAAGTCAACAAGATCTTTGATTTAATTATGAATGTAAAGTTATTATTTTTCAATTAATTACTGTCAGTGTTAAAAACAATGTGATAGATATATCTGTGATAAATTGTCTTAATTTGTTTTTGTAATATGACATATATATATATACACAAATAAATCAATCAATCAAAACTTCAGGGCCATTATTGCTGTTACCAGAAACAATTATCTATTTTGTTCTTTTTTTAGTACCAAAACCTGCCATTTCAATGTTTTAATATTTTAATATTGACACATTTATATAGTACATTGTTTAGTATAATCTAGTCTATTGTTAACAAACACTATATACAACAAATTAAAGTTCTTGGTCACAACTGCAGTTCCTTTATTGTTAATTGATTATTAACTCTTACAGGTCAGAAAATATGACAACTTATATTGCGACTATTCATATTTTCAGTTTAATAAATCAGTACAAGTAGACTGTCAAATGAGCCTTATTTTTGTATTGAACACATTTAGAAATGGTGTTTAGCAAGCCTCATGTAAAGTTGTGATAAAACTAATACTAATAAAATATCATCGAAGTAAGCGCAGATATAAGATATGCACAATGTAAAAATGTTAAGAGACTCAATTAAAAAAAAGAGTGTTGTAAGCTATTTTCCTTCCATTGTAAGTTAAAATCAATGTTTAATTTACTGTTATGTGCATTCAACTAGGCAAAATATTTTGCACAAAGCGAGCAAAATATTACAACTTATATACTGAATTGTAAGATTAAAGGATCGATAACTCTTTTATATATTTCATATTGTCAGATTGCAAAATGGTATAAATAAGGTGTTATGTTATATGTTTTAAATAAATCATTGTTTGAATCAGCAGTTTATGGTTTGTTAAAAATTTAAATACATTGCTAATTCTTATGTCATCTATGTGGACAAACTGGTGCATAATAAAGAAAAGAAAACGTGTAAGGCTATATCTTATATTTCCTGAACCTTAGGAAATGTCTGGTGCAATTTCTGGCTCTGGTGATTTGACTTTCCTTCGTGAAAATCATATGACTCCCTATCACCATTACCATAACAGTTAACTTCACCTTTCTCATGTCTACTGCCACTAGCACTGGCCACTGGAACAGTCAAAGTTGAGCTTAGTGGTCTCAGGTGTTGTAAAGATGTGAAACTCGGCCTATGTCAGTGAAAATGTAACCAAAAAGGTCACGATAATACTTCCACATTTTTCTCCGAAAAGTTGAGCTAAAAATAGTTTATTGAATGTTTTAATTAAAATATATTTATATATATACATGTAAATGATATATATTTACAGTATAGGGGATAATGCTTCAAATTGCTTAGTTTTGATGTTTACATTTTGCAAAAAGATTTCATGATAACTTCTTAATTATGCGCAATACAGACTTTCATAATAGCCAAATTTGAGAAAAAGGTTATTTGTTTGGGAATAACATTAATACTGCCATCATTGCATTATTCCTAGATCAATATATTAACTTACACTGAAACTACTATTTCATTTCATATATCTGAATTCACATTTTTAAAACCTTAAAATTCAAAGCTGTACACTCTCCGATTGGTAAACAAAATGTCAAAACTTCAAACTAAAGAAAGAAAAATATATCAAGAGTATCATGTTTTTTTGGTTTTACATTGCACCAACAATGTAAAAAGGTCATATAGCATAGCAACAACACTACAAACGTCGAATGGTGTAGCACCAACACTGTAATCGTCAAAAGGCGATAATCCAACTTAAATGATGAGGTCCTCTGCCTCTACATGTATTATTAAATCTCTGGCAGGAATCAACCAATTAGTGATGAGAGGCAAATGGTTTTAGGTCAACAATTTTAACCACTTGGCCATGTACGCCCTCAAGAGTTTTACAAATCGAATGATAAATGTATATTGCACATTTTATGGATTTTTTTTCAAATCTTTCATTTTGGCTTAGTGAAAAATCTGCTTTTACAGTAGTAAGTGACTGACTTGAATACCCCTTATATTCTGGCTTCACAATAATTCTTCTACTAAGAACAAATCCTTACTTTTCATTGAAATTGACAGGAATCTTGAGGCATTCTGCGAACTGCTGTATACAATTCTTAAATATCAAAACAAACTCCTGAAAGATTTTTCACTATTATATTTATTTTATTTAGCACCTTTCTGGTAGTAATAAGTTTAAGTATAGTGTCTATAATTTTACTGCCCTTGGGGCAGGTACACAGGTCCATGTGTGGAGTCTTAATTTTATCTTCTAACAAATGATCCAGTTCCAGTCTTAACTCTCTCACTAACTCAGCTATCTGAAAATATATGAGCTAATGTTGTGAAAGGTATATAAATACAATTGTCTCTTCATATATAAAATTACTATATCATTTTGCACTAGTCTTTTGTAACAGAAAGCCTAAATTTCCCTTTGACAAAGTAAAGGTAGGAATGTGTGACTTTTAGATCTGCCAGTCTCTAGTAAAATCCAAAATGTTTGTTGACAGAATCGTATTAAAAAAGTACCTATCATAACCTAGACAGACTGACAAACAAACATTTCAATAACTTTATGCCAGGGTTATAAACATATCACCTAAATATCATTTATAATTCTAATTTGTAATTTACAATATAGTAATAAATAATTGCTAACTTGATTGTTAAAGAGATTTTGCCATAAACATGAGATATATAACCACTATAACAGCATACCTGATGAGATTGTGCCATAAACATGAGACATTTAACAATTATAACAGCTTAGCTGATGATATTCAGCCATAAACATGAGACATTTAATCATCAGCTAAGCTGATGAGAGTGTGCCATAAAAATAAAACATTTAATCATCATAACAGCTAAGCTGGTGAGATTGTGTCATAAACATGAGACATTAACCATTATAACAGCTTAGCTGATGATATTTTTCCATAAACATGAGACATTTAATCATTATAACAGCTTAGCTGATGATATTCAGCCATAAACATGAGACATTTAACCATTATAACAGCTTAGCTGATGATATTCAGCCATAAACATGAGACATTTAACCATTATAACAGCTTAGCTGATGATATTCAGCCATAAACATGAGACATTTAACCATTATAACAGCTTAGCTGATGATATTCAGCCATAAACATGAGACATTTAACCATTATAACAGCTTAGCTGATGATATTGTGCCATAAACATGAGACATTAACCATTATAACAGCTTAGCTGATGATATTCAGCCATAAACATGAGACATTTAATCATTATAACAGCTAAGCTGATGAGATTGTGCCATAAACATGAGACATTTAACCATTATAACAGCTTACCTGATGATATTGTGCCATAAACATGAGACATTTAACCATAATAACAGCTTACCTGATGAGATTTTGCCATAAACATGAGACCTTTAATTATTGAAACAGCTTACCTGATGAAATTGTGCCATAAACATGAGACCTTTAATCATTATAACAGCTTAGCTGATGAGATTGTGCCATAAACATGAGACATTTAACCATTATAACAGCTAAGCTGATGAGAGTGTGCCATAAACATGAGACATTTAATCATTATAACAGCTTACCTGGTGAGATTTTTCCATAAACATGAGACATTTAATCATTATAACAGCTTACCTGGTGAGATTTTTCCATAAACATGAGACCTTTAATCATTGAAACAGCTTACCTGATGAGATTGTGGGCAAAATTTCAAATTCAAATTTTTGGAATTCAACAGGCAGACAGACGGACAGACATATATCTTTATTCAATCAAGCACATTTGTACATATTAGGATTTTCTAATATAGTGAATATAAAACATAAATTTCAAGAAGTAAACATACATAATTTTACGCAATATCTTTTTTTATGTATACAATATGATTATTACAGTTTTTTTCTTTTTTGGTGGGGGCAGGTTATCGGATATTCTTAAGTTTAAACAATTTAACAAACAATTAGTTTATTATTGAATTTGGTAATAGTTGTGATTCGATTAAAATTATGAATATAAAACATTACTATTTCAAGAATAAATTGCATATTCTACTTTATCTAGGATAAGGGTTTATTTACAGCACATTTTTCTTTTTCATTTCACTTTTAATAGCTAGTTAAAAATGTTGTTTTTTTTTTTGAAAAATATTTGTTAAATGTATTATTGTGAGATAATTACCCTTACCACACTAAATAAAACCATTCATTATTTTACCTGATTATACAATCACAAAAGAAAAACATAGAAATGCATGTTTATAGTAGCTTTTAGCAAGGTCAGCATACGCCGAGTGCAGGTCTTTGGCCGAAGTGTCGTCAAAGACTTATACATCAAATATAGCTTTGTGCTATAACTAATTAAGGGATATCTCAACTAATTGTATTACTATTGTCTTTATTTATAGTTATGAAAATAGCATCAAGTACACCTATTTAATGTAAGAGAAATTGCACAAAGTCTAACGTGTACAATGTTTTGAATAGTTCAAAAGTTATTTAGTAAAACAAATCATAGCAAAGTGTCTCTATTGTATTCAATATGGGTTTTATTACCTATTTTAACATTAAAGATTTTTTTCTTTGTTATTTTTCTTTTGATAATCATAACTTAAGTTGAGATATTATCAATGAATATATGCTTTTAAGTGATCTGTATGACTTTTATACAAACACAACAGCTTAAATATTTTAGTGTAACAAAAGGTTATTGTATGTAGTACCGCGCGATCGTTAAGGTTCTTTAATATATTTTTTAAATGCGCATTATGTCAATGTTGAATAAAATAAATATTTTACTATTAAAGTTTATACATGTAACATATCATTATTTATGTAACCGGTTATATCTCAGGTGGAATAATTATTAAACAAAGAATTGCTCTAGGGGTTTAGTTGATGTGCCACATCAGATAAGGCAGGTTAGTTGAACTACTGATTTCACACAGGTAGACTTACTTTCCTATATAAGACTCTATAATTTACATGTAAGTGACCCTAAAATGGGGACATTTGGCCAAAGAGGCATGATTTATATTATAGCTTTCACAGTAGGTAATGCTGTTGGCATTGTAGTTTTACACAAGAAGACATAAAAGTTTTGACCTACGTAATGCAAATGAAAAGTTATGATGCGAATGAAATTTTGTGATACATATCTATAATGGGGAATATTATCTTAAACTTCATGGTATAGGCAAAAGTTCATTACTCGCTTTCTGAAAGGACACCAAATATTGAATTAAGATGTACAAAAATTTATTTTACAACAATGATATCATTTTTGAAATAAAGCTACAAAGATGTCTAATATATGTTTAATATTCAGATTAATATATTTTAAATTTTCTGAATTTATATCATTTTTTTTCATAGAATATTGCAAAAGGCTTACAATCAAATATTGATAAAACACTTAAATGAAGCAAGTAATTAAACGTTTTGAATTGTTAAAGAAAAAAGAGGATGTATAACTCACAAAATTTCAATCACTTATTCAATTAAAAAGGAATACGATAAAAATTATAGTTATGATGAGCTTACTGTTCATGCATTTGATAATTTGCATGAATAGCTCCAGGAACAAAAATACTATACATATGTTTAACAGTTATCTGTAATGCAATTATATGAAACCTTACATGGAAAACCGTAAATATAAATGATGATTTAAGGCATATGATTCAGTTACATATAGACATATAGAATGAAAATGTAATTTTTAACTGTGTCTTGATTATCCTAAATTCTTTCGTACACACCCATCTTAACACATCTAATCCGGGTATCCCCATATCTAACCTAGCTGTACAAACCTACTTACCCCACCCAGACTGCCCCAACCCAAACCACACATAACCTAACCCAGTTAAATCTGAAATACTCCAACCCAGTATAACGTAATCTAACCCAACGAAAAATCACCCAAGACAGCTATGCCCAGCCCAGCCCAACTAACCCAAACCCTACCAAATCCAGCCCAACGTACCTTATTCCTAATGTACCAAAATTTTCCCTTACACCAACAACATATTTAACCTATCCCAACCTATCCATCCACATACCAATAACCCATCTGCTTGTATTCTGTCAACTTCTAGAAATATAACATACAAGAGGGCCATGATTGTCCTATATTGTCCACCTGAATATAAAGGCTCAAAATACCAGATGACTGATACATGTAAATTGATAACAAAGGATGAAAAGCAGACAGGGTATGTTGTATGTTGTATGTTTCATAATTGAAGCTGTAACTAGAAAAGTAGAATTCTGGGTCAAATTCTATGTCAGCTGATATAAATGTTTAATTCAAATCTGCACCTGAATTTGTGGCAGTAGCTCAATTTTTAATGCTCTAGCTCTAGATACAATAAATAAGTCATTGGGTGAAAATATAGGTCAAATTTGCGTTATGCATCTTACCACTGTAGGTTTGAGCCACGCCATCGATTTCTTTGTCAATTCTTCATTTTGAAAAAGCTATCTATCCAGCTTATGACACGTAGGTGGTTCTACTCTGCGCCCTTTTGCGCCTGAAATAATGTACAGAAGGTTACCTGAGGTCTTCCTTCACCTGTTTAGCTTGAAAGTCGCTATATGACATATACCGTGTTCATGCAACATTGAACCGTAACCAGAGTCACCGCTTGACAGGGGCAACCTTCAACTTCTTTTTACGTTTTCTGAGAGCAAACAAATAAATGGTTTAAACAAATTTTTAAAAAGAAAATTAAAGAAAAATATTAAGTTTTTCATCTCTTTTTAACAAGGTCAATGTCTTGTACAAAAGATTGGTTTATCAAAGTATGAAGATAATCTTATTTGATTAATAACCAAGTTGTAGCCAATTAGAGCAATAATCAGTGAAAATGCAATAATTTTACATTCAATGTCAAGGTTATGCATGAGTCAAGGTCAATTTGAGTTAAACTTTGGAGGTCTTGATGTTGTGTCTAAATATGAAGCTAATCAAATTATAAATGACAAAGTCATAGCCAGTTACAGAAAATATCACAAGAATATATTAATTTGCCTTTGATGGTCAATTTCAATTAAAATTCAAGGCCACATATACATTATTCAATATTTTTGTTTGGTAGCTAGTCTTGTTCTGTTTAAAGGGTATTCATATGTATTGGTAATCATTTTCTTTATCACAATAATTATTGAAGTTCATTTTTGTTTTTGTATTGCATATTAGCAATATAGATAATAACATAGACGTTTTTTTTTCTACATCCCCTAAGTTCGACAACAGGCAGCCATTATTGGCCGCATGACGTCAAGGCCGCAGTAAAGCATTTACTACAATGTTGATAATAACTCTTAAAGTATAAATCAAAAGTGTAAATAAATAACAAATTCATAACAATTGAAATTTGACAGTCAAGCTCATTTAAAGCTCAAGATCAAGGTCTGTTCAACCATTTAGAATGTCTTGTCTAAAAGATTGTTTTGTCGAAGTATGAAGATAATTCATTTATAAATTACAAAGTAACAGTCAATTATAGCAAAAATCAGTGAAAATTCAATAGTTTAAGCTCCAAGGTCAAGGTCATAATTTTTAATAAGCCAAGGCCGATTTAAGTGCGATAAACACGAAGGTTGAATTCTAAAGAATGTTGTTTCTAAATAGTCAATCCTTCATTAGTAACAAAGTTATAGCCAGTAACAGCAAGAAAAAACTAAAATTCTTATAATTTGACATTCATGGTCAAGGTCATTTATGAGTTAAGATCAAAGCGTTTTTGGTTAACTTGAAGGTCTACTCTAAAAGATTGCTGTGTTCTATTTTGAAGACAAAACATTCAGAAATAAGTTATTGAAATTATAGCAAAAATCATTTGACCTTGAAGGTCGAGGTCAGTTATAATTGAAACACAAGTTTAGTCTGATGTACTGTAATAAAGGTCTTGCCTCAAAGGTTGCTAGTATGAAGATAGTACATCTAGAATTAAAATAGTTATGATCAATGTAACAGTTTTTGGACGGCAACGGCACCATCCGAGGAACCGCATAGGGTACGGGAAAACAACATGATAATAACAATAACTCCTTTTGTTTTCTTTAAAAAGAAAAGCTTAGCTTAAAATGAACTCAAACATAGACTCAAACTTACAATTGCTTGCACTAAAGGACCGCCTTTTTACTTTTCTTTTCATTTAATAATGCGAAATCTCTGTATGTAAAACTGTAACATATTATCAATAAAACAATTAAACGGTTCTTCCATCGCCTATGTAAATAAATATGACTTTTTGATCGTTTTTATTTCGTACTAACGTTAGATCTATCATTCAGGGTGAAGTGTACACTGGTGACATTCTTCATATTTTCGTTCTTGATGTCCAATGTAAAGACATACATACATTATCATAGACATCACACAAATATGTTGAAATCAGTGCTTATTAAACCCTGCCTGTATGCAGTACTATATAGTTTAAATAATTTATATCTACCACAATTCATATAACTAAAATACCATAATAAGTCTGGCATTAATGTTCTGTTCTGTTCTAAAACAAAAAGTTACAAATGAGTAACAGATAGGAATGCGTAACAAAGAAACTTGTTGGCTGGCTTTAACAATTACCCTCTTTTTGTTTTATTACAGAATGTTTCCAGCACCTCTCTACAGGGAACAGCTCTCATTGATCTTATCTGATGTTTTAGATGACCTCGGTGTCAATGAACAAATGGTGATGAGAAGGAGAAAATTAATGAAATTGTATGAGACTATGGGTACTATCACAATGATGTCAACTGGTACAAATATGACTTTTTATATTTTAGGGAGTCAAATTGAAGGTACAACTACTAAAGGACTTAAGCCAGACATAGATGTTTTAGCTTGCGTCAATAATTTCAATGTTATACAAGACTTGTCAGAATGGGAACATGGCAAGGAAAATTACCTTATGATTCAGGATGAGAACACCACGCCTGGATATTGTTTCCTGCAACTGATTCAATCTCATAAACCTGTGCCAGTCACTGAAATTCCTGATGATCACCATATATCTGAAGAAAAAAGAATATTGCATAAAAACGCAATTAAAAGATTTTTACCAAATCTGCCTCCTAATATTGAGCAGAATGGACCATCCGTTGTTAAACAAGGACAACATCAGGGAATAAGTGATAAAGACTATGTGCATGCTTATCCCTGTAAATCATGGCCTCAATCAGCATCAGGTTGGTTAAAGAGACAAGGTACAGGAAGATGGCCAACACATCAGATGAGAAAATTGGCAGCAGAAACAAGGTGTTTTGTAGTTCCAACTGGAAGTAAAGTTTGTGTTTATCCTGAACTAGAATGGAGAATATCTACTTCCCTGGCAGAGAGATTTCTTATTTTTAATTTTAATATAACACAAATAAGGTGCTATGTGTTACTGAAAATGATTCTTAAATCATCCCTGAATCCCAAAGGGGAAATAAATATATCAAGTTTTATGATTAAAACAATTTTATTCCATTGTATAGAAAATACAGAACTAAGTATATGGGTAGATAACAATTTATTGACATGTATGATATTCTGCTTACAGGAATTACATAGTTGTGTACAGAATGAACAATGTTTCCATTTTATAATATCTGAAAATAACTTGATGGCAGGGCAATTTACTTTAGAGACAAACCATGAACTTTCACAAAATATAAGTGACTTTATTCAGAATGATAGACAACTTTTGCTTCGAATTGATACTGATGATCTTGGATATAGACTTCAAGTTAAACTGAACATGGTACCACCAAAAGTGCACGGATCTCTTACTTCTCTTGAAATTTCCGCTTTATTATACATTAACTTTGCATTCGAAGTAAGTGGAAATGATTTTGTTCTTTTACAAGAACTTCAAAATGGAAACCTTGAAAAAATGAAGCAATCTGTAGCAGAGTTAGTTTCCCTAATGACCTACATTGATAGTGGTGAGGAACGTAAACACACTGTATTCAAGTTTCTGGCACCTTTGGCCTTCACCACATATGGGTCTGCATTAGCATCATCCAGTTTTGGTGCAAATAATCAAGCATTGCGTAAAGCAATGGATTGGCTATCGGCTGGTTTAGACTCAGATGTTTCATCTGGCCGCCTGAAACTGGCATCAGTGTTCTACAGTATAGGAGAGATGGAGAAAGCTGCAGAGATTCTGAGACAAACCGAACAAAAATATCTCTCTCATCATGTTTTACCTATCTGCAGCTGCGTAGCGAGGTCTCTACCAACAGTATCTGAAGACATTGTAAGGTATTGTAATGAACACAAGGAAGATTGTATCAAACGTATTACAGCATTTTGTGTCCGTTTCATACGACTGGAGATCAACTGCATTCCGCGTGAACTACAATATGAAATGTTCAGATCTACACAAGATGACATGATACACAGAGATCCAGATGACGTATGGATGGACTGGGCTACAGTTGATTCTCTACCTTTTCTGTACTTCCTACAATACAAGATATATGGTCATCTACAAAGACAACAAGAAAAACATCAAGCACTCAATAATCTTATAAGAACCACATTTACCGACGGAAACCTTACACATAGAGAAACAGCTCTCAATATTTTGGGGCAATGTATGGAACAAGAGAACAGACCAAATGATGCTTTACATTACTACATATATTCTCTGAAAGAAAGAACAAGAAACAATGCTGCAAAAATTCATCTATGCCGGCTTCTCTGCAAGTGTTACTCTAATTTATAATTCGGAAAGTAAATATGAAAAGAAAGTAGAACAAAACGTCAAAACCCGGGCATATGTTTTGGACACTTTATGTATTGATAAGTTTCAGTCAAACAATAACCATAATCAAGATAATACAATTTCAGTATAAAAATTCAACCCTAAGATACACAAGAAGTGGAACCTGAATATCACATGCCTTAGTCAAAATGTTGCTATTTTTAGAACGAAATAATGGACATTTGCCAAAGAATATTGGATCTTTACCAAAATATATGTATTACCTAAGGGTCAATGTTTGAGATTTGAATGAAATTTGTAAAGTTACTTTCTTTCAATATTTCTAAAACAGTTTTAAAAACTTATTATTTAAAACCTTAAACATAGAGAGACAACTCTTAATATTTTAGGGCAATGTATGGAACAAGAAAACAGACCACAGGATGCTTTAGAATATTACATATGTTCTCTGCAACAAAGGGCAAGAAACAATGCAGCAAGCATTCATATATGCCTGCTTCTCTCCCGTTTACTACTTGCCAAATAAATGAGACACAATACACATATGTGATAAGAATTGAAGTTTGAAGTAATAACGTACTGCTTTTCCATATCAAACTGATTCAAATGTAAAATCATGTGCCTTTCATCCTTCCTGTTACATAAAATCAAATTGAATGATATTGATCATCCAAGTGTAACATGGTTTTAAGCTTCTACCTTATATTTTTTTGGAGTAAAGTGCTTCTTAAAAAAATAATAAATCCTAAATTTTGGTTTGCAAGATGAAGGTTTTTTTTATATATGAATTTCATTTCATAGATTACTTATAAAACATAGTAGACACTCATATATAACGGTTATCTTATAAACATTCATGGGGCAGTCATTCATGTCTGCTTTCTATCCAGTAAATAATTTGTTTACAAAATTTAGTATTTATTTTAGTATAGCCAATTCAGACTATAACTATATGTCACATGCAATATCCAGATTCAAGGTCATACTTGACTTGAAAGGATCTTTTTCATATAATGATATTAATGGACATCCATGTCTTTAAAGCTTAGATATCATGCCATGAGAAAGATCCAAACCAGCGAATTCTCAAAAATCAATGCCCGACACTTAGAGTGTAACATTTGTGAAAATATAAAGTAAAAGTCGGTTATATGTTCAGTCTATAACTTTCTCATTAATGGTTGGACTTTCAAGAGTTTGTTAGAAAAATAAAATGGTTTCTTATAAAAAGACAAAAATGAGTTCTGATTTATTACTGAAATGGTTTCTGACTAGAAAATGTGGATTTATGTCATCATAAATGATGACTTTCTAAAGAGGGTATGTGTTTCGACTGAAAATCAATGATGTTGTTTTACATCATTGGGCATACTGAGATGATAAACATGTGTCTTGTTAATGTTTCTTTATTCTTGTAACAATCTCTATATATATATATATATATATATCAATCATTTATGCCTTCATTGTGTATCACAGTAAATGATTCCTATACTCTGCCCATCTTCAGGGCCATTATTGCTGTAACTAACAACAATTATTTGTTTTGTTCTTATTTTAGTACCAAAACCTGCCATTTCAATGTTTTAATATTTTAATATTGACACATTTATATAGAACATTGTTTAGTATAATCTAGTATACTGTTAACAAACACTATATACAACAAATTAAAGTTCTTGGTCACAACTGCAGTTCCTTTATTGTTACTTGATTCTTATCTCTTACAGGTCAGAAAATATGACAACTTATAATGCGACTATTCATATTTTCAGTTTAATAAATCAGTACAAGTAGACTGTCAAATGAGCCATATTTTTGTATTGAACACATTTAGAAATGGTGTTTAGCAAGCCTCATGTAAAGTTGTGATAAAACTAAATACTAATAAAATATCATCGAAGTAAGTGCAGATATAAGATATGCACAATGTAAAAATGTTAAGAGACTCAATTAAAAAAAAGAGTGTTGTAAGCTATTTTTCCTTCCATTGTAAGTTAAAATCAATGTTTAATTTACTGTTATGTGCATTCAACTAGGCAAAATATTTTGCACAAAGCGAGCAAAATATTACAACTTATATACTGAATTGTAAGATTAAAGGATCGATAACTCTTTATATATATTCATATTGTCAGATTGCAAAATGGTATAAATAAGGTGTTATGTTATATGTATTAAATAAATCATTGTTTGAATCAGCAGTTTATGGTTTGTTAAAAATTTAAATAGATTGCTAATTCGTATGTCATCTATGTGGACAAACTGGTGCATAATAAAGAAAAGAAAACGTGTAAGGCTATATCTTATATTTCCTGAACCTTGGGAAATGTCTGGTGCAATTTCTGGCTCTGGTGATTTGACTTTCCTTCGTGAAAATCATATGACTCCCTATCACCATTACCATAACAGTTAACTTCACCTTTCTCATGTCTACTGCCACTAGCACTGGCCACTGGAACAGTCAAAGTTGAGCTTAGTGGTCTCAGGTGTTGTAAAGATGTGAAACTCGGCCTATGTCAGTGAAAATGTAACCAAAAAGGTCACGATAATACTTCCACATTTTTCTCCGAAAAGTTGAGCTAAAAATAGTTTATTGAATGCTTTCATTAAAAGATATTTATATATATACATGTATATGATATATATTTACAGTATAGGGGATAATGCTTCAAATTGCTTAGTTTTGATGTTTACATTTTGCAAAAAGATTTCATGATAACTTCTTAATTATGCGCAATACAGACTTTCATAATAGCCAAATTTGAGAAAAAGGCTATTTGTTTGGGAATAACATTAACACTGTCATCATTGCATTATTCCTAGATCAATATATTAACTTACACTGAAACTACTATTTCATTTCATATATCTGGATTCACATTTTTAAAACCTTAAAATTCAAAGCTGTACACTCTCCGATTGGTAAACAAAATGTCAAAACTTCAAACTAAAGAAAGAAAAATATATCAAGAGTATCATGTTTTTTTTTGGTTTTACATTGCACCAACAATGTAAAAAGGTCATATAGCATAGCAACAACACTACAAACGTCGAATGGTGTAGCACCAACACTGTAATTCGTCAAAAGGCGATAATCCAACTTAAATGATGAGGTCCTCTGGGGCCTCTACTATTATTTAAA